CAATGGTATTCAGCATACTAACCTTTCTTTAATGAGCATGCTTTTTTCACATCTTCTTCATCAAAATGTTTTCGTTGAAGATGTCTGGCCAACTTGAAATGAAGCTTATTGCAATAAACACAATTGTGTTTTTTATTAGGATACAATTCTCTCTGATTCTTTCTCTGACTACAACCAGTGTCAACTATTGAACAAAATGAAATCTATTATTACAAATTCACCAAGATTCAAAAAACTAAAATGTATATTTTCCCCAAAAAAAAAGGAAAGATAAATAGTGTGATCTTTTGAAAAAACATTGATTACTAAAACTTATTCAGATTATAAAAATCAACCACTTTGATGTAATTACAGGGAAATTCAAATTCGAGTTTATGCATGGGAATATAGTAAATAGCAAGAGATAGAGAGTGAGCAATAATAGGTAAAGTTGCCTATTATTGCGTGCCACTGAAAAATTCTTTAAAAAATTCACAATTCAATCCACTCTCTATCTTTTATTATTTACGAGATATCCATGTATAGTGAAAAACAGTACAGTCGGAATTTTGTCTTGCTACTTTGTTGAGAATTCCCTCTTTTTTGTGTTGAATATAAAAAATTACTGTTCAAGATAAATTTTTTTAACAAATGGTACCTACTATGACAAAAAGTATTGAAAAAATTTTGTAGTCGACTGAAATTGATACAAAGAAATTCTGTAAGTGTTCTTTACAACCTTATACTATTCCACAGAATTTATTAAAAATTTTCATTTTTATCTGCCATATATCTTGAAAGTGTATGGAAAAATTAACTTTCTTCATTTAATATTCAGTAAGCTACAGATTTAATGCATCATTTTTTTCTGTATAACTAAATCATTTAAAAGGTAAAAAAATCACTTTATCTAGCTCTATGGAAATTAAGAGCAATATAGATTTGCTAAAACACTCACCATTATTGCTTGAAGAAGTTAAATGAAGCCCATGATGTTTTTGGATATGTTCATCCAAATCAGGTAATATGATTCCACAATACATACATAATGATATATTATCTTTATCCTTTTGGCTGCAGTTTCTATTTATAGATGTATCTGCATAAGTATCAATATCATAAAACTCAAAAATAACATTTTCAACTTTCTGAGCTGGTTCTTCCATAGTAAAATCAAAACTAATATCATCTTCAGCTGAATGGGATTCTACTGAAATCTGAGAGGATTTCTGTTTGACCATATTTTTTTCACTTGAAGTACATTCAATACTTGGGATATCAGAAAGCATGTTATTTGATGTGATATCTATTTGAAACAATGTTTGTTTCTCTTTAGATTCATCAATAATACCAATGTAATTATTAATATCCGCTGTGTTCTGACATTCAAGTGTACTAATAGTACCCTTGTTCTGTTCATTTGGAGTGTTTATGTAATCAATGTTTGGAATATCAAGCACTATCTCATTTAATATTCTGTTCCTTTCACAGGATGTTTGTTTTTCTTGAGACAGATTAACAAGTGCTTGAAAGGACATTTCTTCTCTAGACAAATCGACCACCATATGCTTTTCATTTAAATTGAAACAAATATCTTTCAATACATTCATCGAATCTACAAACAAATGAACAATTATTTTCAATTACTTCTGGAAAAGAAATTATTACATATATTATTGAAACAAATTACTTACGATTTTCACATAAAATATTGGCTTCATACCAATATTTTCCATATCTGGCCTTAGTAAAATTTTTAGATCGGCGTATTCCCTTTTCTGTACACACATGATATATACCATCGCACATAAACTTTACCAAGTAATACATTGTTAAAATGTCCTAACTGAGGAACACAGATTACAACAAGAACACAGATTACAACAAGAACACGGGTTACAACAAGAACACAGATTACAACAATTATGTTTTCACTAAATTTCACTAACATGAGGATGAAAATATTCATGCCACAGTTCATGCAAGGTAAAAAAAAGCTAAAGAATAAAGACCTGTCTGCACTTTCTGCAATAATATTCGAGTGACCAGTGTTGCCACACGGCTCTTGTGAAAATGTCCGAAGGATGTCTTTTAAAATTCCACTTTTATGGGAACAAAATTTTAAATTATCCAAATAATATCCGCACAAAATTTCAGGAGATGAATATGTAGAAAATATTTTGAATGCGAATGAATTCAATATGAAACTAGCCCAAACAAGTTTTGAACAACTTTCTATGTTAATTATTTTATAACTTCGATAGAAGTTATAAAATAACTCATTATTTTATAATTTTGATAAAAGTTGTAAAACAACTCACTGAGTGAAAAATAATAAACGTTATTACATACAAAAAAGTAAAAAAAAACTACAAATTCCTCTAGAAATAGACATATATGCTCAATACAAAAATTAACAGAAATGCTTATGAGATCTAAGATTCATTTCTGGAGGGATACTTTTGAATATCAGTGAATTAGAATCAATAAATGAAATATATTTCAACTGTAGTGAAATGAAATGTTGATCCTAAAATTAATTTTTGGTTGTTTTCAATTCGAATATTTTTGAAGAACCCGGAATTACTAGCAACCGACTTTGATATTTTTTCAGATATAAATCAGAAAATTTTGATCTGATACTGAAAAGTAGTACTTGGATGTATCTATAAACCGACTTTGATATTTTTTAGAATGTGAATCAGAAAATTTTGACTTGACACTAAAAATTATTTTTTTGTCTTTTCTAATTCGATATTTTGGCAAAAAAGGAAATAATAGCAACGACTTTGATATATTTCCGAATGTGGGTCAGAAAATTTCAAATTAGCAATAAAAATTATCAATTGATTGTATCTAATTCGATTTTTGCTGAAAAAAATCCGATATTACTTAATAGCAACTGACTTTGATATTTTTTAGAATGTGGATCAGAAAATTTTTACTTGATCCTAAAAATATTTTTTCATCGTTTTCAATTAGAATTTTTTGAGTATTCCGAATTACTTACTAGCTCAACACTGAACATTATATTTTTCGTTTTCAATTTGAATTTTCTTAAGTACTCGGAATCAGTTACTAATAACAGAATTTGATATTTTTTCAGATATGAATCAGAAAATTTCGACCTGACACTGAAAGTTATTAATTGATTTTATCTATCAACCGATTTTGATATTTTTTAGAATGGGAATCAGAAAATTTCGACTTGACACTAAAAATTATTTTTTGTCTTTTCTGATTCGATATTTTGGCAAAAAAGGAAATAAGAGCAACTGACTTTGATATATTTTCGAATGTGGATCAGAAAATTTCAACCTGACATTGAAAATTATTACTTGATTTTATCTAATTTGTTTTTTGATGCAAAATATCAGGAATTACTTATTATCAACCGACTTTGATATATTTCACAATATGGATCAGAAAATTTTGACTTGATACTGAAAATTATTTTTTGATCGTATCAATTCGATTTTTTAAGTACCTTAAATTACTTACTAGGCAACCGACTTTGATATTTTTTCAGACATGGATCAGAAAATTTTGACCTGACACTGATTGACACTGATTACTTGATTGTATCTAATTCGATTTCTGCTGTACAAAAAAATCCGATATTACTTAATAGCAACTGACTTTGATATTTTTTAGAATGTGGATCAGAAAATTTTTACTTGATCCTAAAAATATTTTTTCATCGTTTTCAATTAGAATTTTTTGAGTATTCCGAATTACTTACTAGCTCAACACTGAACATTATATTTTTCGTTTTCAATTTGAATTTTTTTAAGTACTCGGAATCAGTTACTAATAACAGAATTTTATATTTTTTCAGATATGAATCAGAAAATTCCGACCTGACACTGAAAGTTATTAATTGGTTTTATCTATCAACCGATTTTGATATTTTTTAGAATGGGAATCAGAAAATTTCGACTTGACACTAAAAATAATTTTTTGTCTTTTCTGATTCGATAGTTTGGCAAAAAAGAAAATAAGAGCAACTGACTTTGATATATTTTCGAATGTGGATCAGAAAATTTCAACCTGACACTGAAAATTATTACTTGATTTTATCTTATTTGATTTTTGATGCAAAAAATCCGAAATTACTTATTATCAACCGACTTTGATATATTTCACAATATGGATAAAAAAATTTTGACTTGATACTGAAAATTATTTTTTGATCGTATCAATTCGATTTTTTAAGTACCCGAAATTACTTACTAGGCAACCGACTTTGATATTTTTTCAGACATGGATCAGAAAATTTTGACCTGACACTGAAAATGATTACTTGATTGTATCTAATTCGATTTCTGCTGTACAAAATCTGGTGTGACTTACTATCACTGTTGTATCACAAACAGTGCTGCAAATTGCTGTATAATTGAACATTTTCTGTCTAATACGCATTGTTTGCTGTCCAATTGCTATGAAATACTATGCTACTGTATAAAACAGTGTGATTCCGTGAAATGTATTCTTATATTTTCTTTATCTTTGAGAATTCGATAACATATGACNATTGCTTGAAGAAGTTAAATGAAGCCCATGATGTTTTTGGATATGTTCATCCAAATCAGGTAATATGATTCCACAATACATACATAATGATATATTATCTTTATCCTTTTGGCTGCAGTTTCTATTTATAGATGTATCTGCATATATCAATATCATAAAACTCAAAAATAACATTTTCAAATTTCTGAGCTGGTTCTTCCATAGTAAAATCAAAACTAATATCATCTGCAGCTGAATGGGATTCTACTGAAATCCTAGAGGATTTCTGTTTGACCATATTTTTTTCACTTGAAGTACATTCAATACTTGGGATATCAGAAAGCATGTTATTTGATGTGATATCTATTTGGAACAATGTTTGTTTCTCTTTAGATTTATCAATAATACCAATGTAATTATTAATATCCTCTGTGTTCTGACATTCAAATGTACGAATAGTACCCCTGTTCTGTTCATTTGGAGTGTTTATGTAATCAATGTTTGGAATATCAAGCACTATCTCATTTAATATTCTATTCCTTTCACAGGATGTTTGTTTTTCTTAGACAGGTTAACAAGTGCTTGAAAGGACATTTCTTCTCTAGACAAATCAACCACCATATGCTTTTCATTTGAATTGAAACAAATATCTTTCAATACATTCATCGAATCTACAAACAAATGAACAATTTTTTCAATTACTTCTGGAATAGAAATTATTACATACATTATTTAAACAAATTACTTACGATTTTCACATAAAATATTGGCTTTATACCAATATTTTCCATATCTGGCCTTAATACCATTTTTAGATAGGCGTATTCCCTTTTCTGTACACACATGATATATACCATCGCACATAAACTTTACCAAGTAATACATTGTTAAAATGTCCCAACTGAGGAACACAGATTACAACAAGAACACAGGTTACAATAAGAACACAGATCAGTGGCGGCTCGTGGTATTTGAAAATGGTGAAGCACAGTTAAATTTTTTTTTAGCAAAGTTAGAATTTAAAGTTAGTCTAGTGGTCACTCTACTTCGTCAGTTGTTTGGTATTTTTTAATCCCTTTCTCTGAAAATATTTCTCATTCTGTCCATTTCGTGCTATGCAGTATTTCTCTGAATGACTCTTTAAATTTTTTTTTGAATAAAATCCCTTACAATAGGGACATGGCATATTTTTAGTTGTAGTAATATTTTTGAATTTTCTCCGCATCCTGATGATTTCTCCATCACTGGCAGCTTTTGAATTGAATAAAAAGTCACCTTTTTTTTGGATCTCTGTAAAAAGAATTCTTCTCTCATGGGTACCTGTAAAATAATTAAAATACATTCACTCATTATTTATCCAATTTTTGATTTCTTTTTTATTAAACAAAGTATGTCAACGTGAACAAAACTTCAATACAAATTCTTTTTCAAACTCTTATGTTGTAAGTTATCAACGAAATAAAAACATACATGGTGTCTCCCTTCAACTTAATTTTTGTATCCATCTGTTTAAACAGATTTTTAAACAGAAGCTATATTTTGTAGCTGAGCTAACAATATAATATTTAATGTGATTTCATTCCTATGTCATCAACTCTATACCTAGGAATTATACAAACGAAAGTTCAAATAACACAATTTTTAGGTTTTTCACTGTATATAGAATTCGATTTTACATCAAGCCATAACAACTTAATATAAAATGACTTATCAATAAATTGATGAATGTAACTGTTACTACGTGGTAAGAAATCATAATGAAGGAAAGGGAATTGAAACTTTCTATGTTTTTTACCACTTTCATTCAGGTCTCTTCAGAAAAAACAATGTGGAAGTGGCATTCAGACCACATGCAGGGTTATCTGATTTCCTTTTCAATGCCAAAGATAAGGTGGACAAGTTGGAGAAATCTGGAGTTTATAAGCTTAAGTGTCCGGAGTGTAATAGTGTTTATGTGGGACAATGTGGTCGCAATTTCCAAAAACAGTATGCTGAACGTGAAAGGTCCTTCAGACTAGGAAGAAATCATTCTACGTTTTCAAACCATTGCTTGGCATGCAACCACAAGTTCCCGAATCTAAACGATACGGAAATTTTTCACTATGCAAAGATGGGTTACAAACTCAATTATTTAGAATCCTTGGAAATTCACAAGCATAAACATTGCGGGTGCAACCTGTTAAATCAGGGGTTCCCAACCGGTGGTACGCGTACCACCAGTATACGCGGGAACATTTCAGGTGGTACGCGTTACTGCTGTGAGCAACACTGTGTTAAACATGACTCAGCTCACGGTTCTCTAGAAAAACGATATACCCATAACCCAGTGAACGACCTGACATCTTTGTTTTTCGATTACATTGGAATTCATAATTCCTAGGTAATAAAACAATAAAACACTTCAGGAATTTTACCTAGGAATCCCCAGATAGTACAATTGGTAAACAAAGGGT